CAATCGCATGTTCATTACAAAACAAGGAGGCATGCATGATGTGCAGTGGTTAAGTCACACCAATGATCTGCAACCATGAACTCATTAGACCACAACCATGAACTCATTTTGAGTCTTATTTACGTGCTGTTTTATAGTACGTACTAGTACTTACTCGTGCACCAAGTATTGTGTTTCACAACGGGTGTACAGAGGGTTAGAACATGTATAATGTAGTATATATACTGTATTTAATAAATTTTGAATGAAACAATTGTTGGTTGCCTGCCTATAGCTGAGGTAGGATTATTAATTGTTAAGGGCGGGTTTCCTGTAATTTTTTTTTATTAATAAAAACAACACAGATTTCATTTTTGTATGATTTCTTTGATGTTTGTTTGTATTTCGTTGAGGAACTGTACGTGGACTCCCCCGCCTTATTTCCACTGCGTTTGTTTGCACACGCAATTGATGCGCTGCAAAATGTTTGGTTGATAATGTACAGGTTGGAAGAAAACGAAATTACATTTCCCACTTTTGAGCACAAAATGTTTTCGGAGCTTTCGAACAAATGAAGATTGCCAAGCGTGGATGATCTAATAATGCCCTAGAACCGGTTCAAAAGCCGGTTAGCTTCACCCTAGACTAACTATAGGCAGCCCATCCTCGTCCAATTTTCAACGAGTGACCGAAAGAAAATGGCTCTGGGGACGAGAGGCAGCCCAAGAATGCGTGGTATTTGTCTCTTACGTATGGTCCCCAACCTCGTCCCCAGGGTCTTCTTGATCGCCTGGGGACGCAGACTAGTCCCAAGTCCTCTATGCACGCTTTTGAGGAGCCGTCACCTCATTAATATGCAGAACCGCGCAATAGGCGTACTATTAAAGAGGCCTAGGGACTAGGCTGCTGGGGACGAGGTTGACAGTTACCTACCTTGGAAAAGTTTTGAAAGCTCGTGCGTGAAAATCTTTCATGTTTGCCTGGCGCTCGAGTTTGTCGGTTAACCGAGTCAAATCTGAGCCCGAGTCACTGTTTAGTGGTCCCTGTAGTTCAATGACTTAGTTTTATTCGACTGTGAATTTTATTCGATTTTGGAGTTTGTCGGTTAACCGAGTCAAATGTCCGAGTCGCTGTTTAGCTGCCTTTGTCGGTTCAATGACTTAGTGCCCTAACCCTATTCGACTGAATTTTATTCAATTTCGTCTTTTTACGTGACTTGGGCTCGGATTTGACTTGGTAAATGGATTTACTCCGTGGCGCTCAACCTAAAATTCAAAGCAATCCAACACTGCAACAGCTTGTTTTTTAGAAAATATTTCTTCAGAAATCTTGTGTAGATCAATGGGAGTTTTCTTTTCTGTGGTTTTGTAATAAACCAACGTACGGAGATAACACAAACTAAAACGGCGAGTTAACTTTTATTTTTAATCCAAGGTAGCGCTAATCCAGTTTTGAACAACCATGGGCGCTCTTACATATGGCAGTTGTACGCTACTTGAACAACACTTTCCAGCAGTTACAGAGTGAACAAATGTCAAGATTCTTGGACTCTATTGCACTAATGCTCCAACCTTAATATAACCATAAGAAGAATGACTTGTGCACCTATCATGTCTTCCCCCATGCAACAGCGCAAGGGCTATAGACATTTGGGAAAATTGTTATAGTCAATAATTCACAATCAAAGGTTGTATGGAACTGTCAATTCATGTTGAATGTGCCTGGGTTTGGATTAACATTCGACCACAGCAGATTGGTGACTATAAATTTAGTGAGAAATTACAAATTTAATTTGAAAAACTGCAACTAACTCAGGGTAGAATGTATTAGCATATACCGGGTGACGCAAAAAAAAAGTTAACCTGTTTGATTTATTTTAACTTAAAAACTAAAAGAGCTATTACACCTAAACTACGTGCATTGCATTCAGTATTGTCTAACTTAAATTTTGATATACGCCCTGTACAATTTCGTACAATATTCACCGAGAGAGCTGCGTTTAAACTTGAATAAACATTTTGGAAAGTGTCGAGAATTAGCTAAAAACGGCCTGTTAAACTAATTTGATAACCCTTACCATTTTATCGTAAATATTCGTTTCAATGAAGTGAAGTTTAAATTAAAAATGTTTATAGGATGGAGGTGCTCTTTTATTTTTGTTTAAGGTCTTTGGGAATGCATGCATGAAAATTAATTTATGAAGCGATTTTGATTAAAAGATTTATTCTAAATATCCAATAACCCTGGGGAATCAAATTCTAGTGTTCCAAGAAAGAAACGACAAGTGTTTTTTTTTATAAATACGCCTCGTTTAACGAATGACGAAACAGTTTTGATATGTTTAGAATATGCATGTAAGGGTAAATAATGCTCGTGAGGTTATACCGGCGGCGTTGGGCAGGTCTCTGACAACGAACGTGTACTTTCTGACTATAGTGCGTCTAAGCACAGGTTATTGCTGTATTAAATATTTGATAGGCCGTTTTGGGCTAATTCTCGACACTTTCAAAAATGTTTACTCAAGTTTAAACGCAACTCTCTCGGTCAATATTGCACGAAAATGCAGAGGGCGTATATCAAAATTTAAGTTAGACAATACTGAATACAATGCACGTAGTTTACATGTAATAGCTCTTTTAGCTTTTAAGTTAAAACAAATCAAACAGGTTAACTTTTTTTTGCGCCACCCGGTATATATATATATATATATATATATATATATATATATATATATATATATATATATATATATATATATATATTATTATTATTATTATTATTATTATTATTTTCCAAACTTCCATAATAACTGAACAGTTCAATACTTCCTTCATTACAGTCGGTCGTGGCGGCCTTCAAGGCAATTGTTTCAGTCCTCTTTTATTCAACATGTCTTTCAATACCTTTATCCAACATATTAAATCGGAAACATACCGTCAACTTGGATTTTGGAAATCCAGCGAATACGGCATCCCATTAAATCCTATTCATTGGTTCCAGTTTGCAGCCGACGCGGCTGTTGTTAGCGGTGAAGAAAAAGAAAACCAAATCGGCTCCTCAATCGCTTTTCAATCTGGTGTCAGTGGGCTCAAATGATAATACGTGTAGACAAATGTTCAACATTTGGCATTAGGAAAAAATGATCTAAATCCATTCAATATCTCCCAAAACTGTTTATAAATAACTGTCTTGTACCACGTGTTGAACTTGGTAAATCATTTCGCTACTTAGGTCGTTATTTTGATTTCAACATGTCTGACGAAGATCACAGATATGAAGTATATGACACACTTACTAATATGCTGAATGAAATTGATGATTTACCATTACATCCGAAAAACAAAATTCTCTTATACAGCCGTTATGTGCTTTCCAAAATCTCTTGGCACTTCACTGTTTCTGACATAGGCAAAACCTGGGTTAACGATAAACTAGATAGTATCGCGTCCACGTATATCCGGAAATGGCTTGAACTTCCTATTTCTGCAACCCTTAGTAACGTCCTACTTCCCCACAATAAATTTGGATTAAATATCATTCTACCTTCAACCAAATTCCTTCAATGCCAAACTGTTTCTCGGAAAGCTCTAAAGTCGTCGCCAAATGAAGCGATCAATAACCTTTGGAAGGATACTAGCAATCACAAAAATGTACAATATGACAAATACAAAAACACCAAGGACGTATTAAACACCATCAGGAAACAACATGAAGACAAGCTTCAACACCACCTCATTTCACAAGGCTCATTTTTCTCCAATATCATTAAACATTCTACACTCTCATTCAACTCTATATGGTCCTCCGTTCAGAGTAAACTTCCCAAGAATATATTTAATTTTACTATCCGGTATATAAATAACACTCTTCCGACTAGCAAAAACCTTCAGAAATGGGGAATATCACCAACATCCGAATGTTCGTTCTGTTTGAATCCCGAATCACTTGTCCACGTCGTCGCTGGATGCAAGACCTACCTAAATGAAGGACGTTTCACGTGGCGTCATGATTCGGTGCTTAATTTCATAGCATCCATACTAAAATCTGTGAATTATTCTAACCTTTATGCTGACCTTCCTGGCTATATCAGTCCATCTGTTCTCACCGGAGATGAATTACGCCCTGATCTTTTGATAACACTTGAAAACAAATATATTTATATACTTGAACTTACGGTCGGATTCGAATCTAATCTCCTCACTAATGCAACTCGAAAAAGACAAAAATATCAAGATCTAATTAATGAACAGCTCAAAAATTATGAAAAAGTAAAATTTGTAAATTTATCGATTAGTTCATTAGGAGTTTTCAGTCATTCGTCTCTAGATTTCACCGAAATGCTAAAAGATCTAAAGTTTGATGAACAATGTAGAAAGTACTATGTTCGGAAAATTATTAACATATGTATCAGGTCCTCGTATTATATATTCTGTAAGCGTAACAAAGAATGGAATAACCCACAACTAATGTCATACTAATATTATTATTATGTAGCCGTGTTAATTCAAGTAGACACTGATAAACTACCTGCAAAGAAAGGTTTATCATT